TGAGTATGGGTAAAAACAAACAAAACTGCATTACAAGTTAGTTAAAAGGAAAAATACTTTATGAGCTTTAAACAAAGTTTAAAACAGCAAAAAGCAGGAAAGTCTAATTCCACTTTTTAAAAAATTACTATTCATTTTCTGAAAACAGTACAAATTTGAATCCTCTGAGGAGAAGTTGGTTCCTATTTTTAGGAAGCATAGTACAGGAACCACATTTATTTTATATTCTTCTTTGGTTTTGCATATCTTCCCCTGTCCACCAATTCCCTGACTTTTTATAGATAAAACTGCTATCTACTTCACATGGATTTCCCCCCCCCCCCATTTTTTCTAATTCATTAAGGCAATTAAATGAAAGATGACCACACTGAAGAAAGAACACTGTTTATTAAAAACAGTCAAATTTAAGTAATTAACTAGTGTCATTTCATTTTGTTTTCTGATATGATCATGGCAGAAAAACTGTTTTGGCTTCCAAATGGACAAAATGGAGTAGTAGAAGACCAGATGATAGGAGAAAAAGAAGGCTGCAATTTGTGGAACATGGATGCTCAATAGGAGAGTCTGTAAGTTGGGATGACATTTTATCTTTTCAGTTTTTGGAATGAATTTTGAAAAGCTGTATTAAGTCTGTTTTAAGGCTAATAGTTTCACGTTTCATATAACAAAATAACAGGGAATTGTTTTCACAATTAAATTACCACATGAAATTAAGAGTGCTGTTGTTGTTGGTGGTCCCTGAACATTTTGGGGACAATAAATAGACCTGGAATGTCATACTACTGATCTTTGATTTGGATTGTGAATTGCTTAGGAACAGACTTGACAAATTATAAAAATCTGTAAACTGCTGCAACCATTGGCTATCAACAGGGAGTTATTACCTAGATAATATATCTCCTATACAACACTGTTTCCATTTATCTATTAATATAAGAAGATGAGGACTTTTAACACCCCAATAGCCTACATCCATCCCTTCCTGTTGCTCTTCTTGTTCTGTTACTTTCCTCCTCCCCAGAAAATATGGTTGGAAATCATTTTTCATAGAGACTGTTAATAACTATAAAGATTAATATACCTGTAGTATTTATCTTTGTCTGTTGAATACATATGCTGGTCAATGCATGGTCTCTTATCAATCTTCTCCTCCCATGTACCCTCTTTCCATCCTTCAGCATAGTTTTGCAGGACATATATCTCATCAATAAAAGGACCACCTGACTCTAACAATTCAACATAAATCAGTACACAAATATAAGCATATATCTTGTTACAGATAATAGATGTACAATCATAATCAAGGCATTGTAGCCAGTAGATACAAAGTACACCACTGATTGTAAAGTAGTTATCTTATACTTTTTGGAACGGACGTTTGAATAGAAGAATTTGAAATGGAGTCTATGTATGTTTAAGGGGAGATCCAAATAACTTACATCAGAAAGAAAATTCCAAAGCATTTGAAAAGTTAATATAATTGTATTCTCTCTCTCTCTCCACACGTCATGTAACAAGCCTGTAACCACTAAATTCATGAACTTTACCTGCAATCATAGTGCTTTTCAACAGTGCAAATAGATACCAAAAGTTTTAAATGGGGAATGCATATGATTGTACAGAAAGTTAAAAGATGTGCATATAAATTAAATACAGAAATAGTATCTTAATACAGCTCACCTATCTTAATGCATAGAAAAAGCCAGATGAAACTATACTAAGGTTTCATATCATTGGTTCTTCTAAAGCATATGTTACCTGCAAGAAATTGTTCATATTCAATAACATGTATGTTTTTATTGAGGCTTGTCACATCAAAAAACTTGGACCAAGGAATTTGGACTTGATGAATTTTAGGAGTTTGCCAATGATAAAGACGTCCCCATGGAGGCAGAACCAACACCCATGCTTCAGTCTTCAATAATGTCTTTAGAAGAGATGCAATTCGTATGAATACATCTCTACGTAGGTTGAAACCTTCAGGTGGATTAACATCATACAAAAGATACCTAGAGAAAATAAATATTACAAATAAACTATTATTAAACCATGATTTATAAACATTTCAATTTTAAAGAAGAGAAAAAGCAAAGCAACTATATTTTGGAATGATTATGACTTCAGACATTTGCAAAAGAATGGCTGAATATAGTGACATGCTGCTTTGACATTCTATGATGGCTTCTCTTAATGTAACATCAACTGTATGATATAAAAATAAATCTCCATTGTTATATATAAAAACCACTGCATTTCTTTTTATGCTTTCATGCTTTTTTTCTTCTTAATGCTAAGAAAGCTCCCAATAAATAATGTTTGTGTATACTGGAAGGGTTGTCATTGTCTGGGTATGCTTTGGTGTAGAGATATTTTGCACTAAGACAAGCTAATTAAGTCTATGTCTCCTATCCTTGTCTATAATCTGTATAAAAACAATTGTCTTTTCAGTCATTCAGAATCTCACTCTTTGACTGTTTAGTAATCGTAACTACCGGTGTGGTATTGAGATATATACCCCCCCACACATACATGCCGAAACATTGCTACAACTTTAAAAGCACAACTATAATGACGTGGGAAAATACCCGAACAAAGCTGAATGCCATACATGTAAGTACCCGTGAAAACTTAAGAAAACATATATATGTATATGTGTGTGTGTGTGTGTGTGTGTGTGTGTATGTATGTGTATATATATATATAGTAAATATCTTATACTGCAAGTAATGACATGCTATTTTCACTACTGAATGAAACATTGTTCCTGTATTTACTTATCCTATACTCATCAAACAATTTAAGAGCCCCTTCTTAAATATAACATGCTAAAAGTCCTTTCTCATTTACTGTTTTATCCAGTTATTCTACAATATCTTGTCCTTGGGATTATACTAGGGAAGAGTCCAAGAAATAGCTTGTACTTTTTCTTCCCACCCCATCCCCTCAAATCCTGCTACCTCCTCTGATTACAACTTTACAGCAAAGTGCTGGTTCAAAACTAGTAGGTATCCCATTACTCTCAATAAGCTTGGCTTTCATGAGTATTTAAGTCTCTCTGTGCTCCCTGAGCTTGGTTATTTGCTTCCAGACATTCTTACCCAAACAGATAAACAGCAATATTGAACTGAGTGTGGGATTTGTCATCTTTATGTGCATGCAGTTCTATCTCTGTAAGTTTCAGTGGAGATGTTCATTACAAGCTATTGCATACTAACTGTAACCACCTCCTTTACGTGTGCACTGTGTGTCTATATCATATAAGAATTGTTAATACAGGTAGTTGTCGAGTTATAACAGTTCATTTAGTGTCCATTCAAAGTTATAATGGCACTGAAAAAAGTGAGTTATGGCCTTTTTCACACTTACAACCATTGTAGCATCCCCATAGTCACATGATCACAATGCAGATGCTTGGCAACTAACTCATATTTATGACTGTTGCAATAATCACCAAGGTCCTGTGATCGATCACCTTTTGTATACTTCTGGTAAGTCAATGGGGAAGCCAGATTCAATTAACAACTATGTTACTAATTTAACAACTGCAGTGATTCACTTATCAACTATGACAAGAAAAGTCACAAAATGGGGCAAAATTCACTTAAGAAATGTCTCATTTAGCAACAGAAAATTTGGGCTCAATCGTGGTCATAAGTTGAGGACTACCTGTACTTCTTGGGAGACACTTTTAAGTTAGCTGTTATGCATACAAACACCTCCAACCCCAACTATTATTGGAAGAGGCAATTCTGAGGACAGGATGAGGTGGTGGAAAGCAGCTGAGTTTCTTTAAAATTTCCTCAATAGACTAACATTAAACAAAACAGTCCAAATCAGACTTTTGAAGAGGCTGTTAAAAGTCTCCCTCATTGGGGAAATGGTCAAGAGCCAGAGAAGAAAAAGGCTGAGCGGGGGAACCCGATCAGACCCTGAGGAATTCAAGCCACCAGGCAGGGCAAGGAGCCACAACGCGGAGCTCTCGCATCCCCATAAACCGACGCAGGGGTCTTTTGGGAGCGCTCCTTCGAGCTTCTTCACTGCAAAAAAGGAAGAGGCCGAAGAACGCGGGCTAGGCTCCCTCAGTGGCAGGGGGTGATCTCCTAGGCCCCTTCGCCTCCGCGACCCGTCAGTCAAGGAAGCGCGGGGGGGGGGCTGCAAACGCGCCCCTCGGGCCCGGCGCTTGCGCTGCTTCTCTCACCGTCTGAAAGGCGCCGCCACGGCAGCGGCGGGCAGGGAGGAGGCGCTGTGGCCCGCCTGGAAGGCTTCGAAGGGCGCCTGGGCGGCGGCGAGAACCAAAAAAACCAGGACGGGAGACAGACGGAGAAACCCCCAGCTCCAGCGTAGCGCCATCTGCGGCTTCTGCTACCGAGAGAAGGGGCGGGCTTAGTTGGGCTGGAGGCGGGCAGAGGAGAAAGTCCGATGCAAAACCTGGCTTGAATTTTGGAAGACGAGGCTGTTGTGCTTGACGGAGAAATGGGCGTACACCGGCGTTTTCGAGTGCAGGACGTTAAACCCTAACCCACAATACGGAATCCACCTTACAGCTTTTTGTTCTTCTCTTCTGGGACAGTTACAAAGGGAGAATTACAGGGTTCCTTTGGTCGGTAGTGCACAACACGCTTAAGGAACTGTGATGATTTTCACTACTGTTGTTTTCTTCTCGGAAAAAATAACCAAAAGCAACATTTGGAACGTGACTCATCGTAGAGGGGTTATAATTGTGACCTTCAGTGGCAGAGGATATTACTGGGTTCATTTTTGGGTGTGCAACAGTTGGGTAGGAGTGGAAAACAGCACTTTGGTCCTGAAGCAGTTCAACTATGTATCTGGCCAACACCGTTTTCAAGAGGGAGCAGCAGCAGTGATGGTGAAAGTAGAATAGGAAGCAGGAAGGCAATTAGGAACTTTCAAAGCGTTTTGCTGGCCTGACTAGTAGATTTTCTAGCAAAATTGGTTCAGGGGTAATTGTATTCTGCTGACCAAGGAAGCAGGAGAAATTAAGAAAATAGGAGATTTATTTTAATGACATTTAGAAATGGTGTTTTGACAGAGGTTCCAAGTTTGTGCCTGTCAGTTTGCTTAACTCGTGCAGAATTTGTGTTTCCTTTTCATACATCTGAAAAAGAGGAAGCCCATAATGAATGTGTACATTTTCTTTCAAATTATACAATGTCTGATCTTACAAACTTGGATTTGAATTTTGAAATTTAAACTTGAACTGACCAATCAATCAGAAAATCTTAAAATGCATTTACATAAGCTTACATTTGGAAGCTTTTGAACAATAAAGTAAACTGAAAAATTAGAATTGTGTCAAATCAGTTAGAATACTTACTTGTTGCCAGTCTGTTTCTGTGTTGTGTTTATAACCAAGTAAGTGGCACATGCCATGGGCAACTGTCACCTGTTTAAGGGGGAAAAGCTTTTAAATGGTGTACATATTCATAATTGATAAGCAAAGTAGAATATTAGAGAAATCCCACCTCATAATAGTTTAAAATCACAATAGGAATAGTCATCATTTATAGAGAATACCGTGAAAACTTCAGTGTGATTTCTCCCTAGTGTCAGTGGAAAGGAGTTATAATCATAGAGTGAACAAATGTATTCAATGTATACCATTCAATTTAAACAGCATTTTGTATTGCAAGCAATTCTACTAAAGTGGCTGGCAAACATTTTTTTCATAAATGGTGAAATCCCACCCCTTCTCTGCCGCAATGGGCACAGCTGGCAGACTAAGGAGCATGATAGACATTGAACATGCCCTCTACCAGCAGCAAGCAGGCTGCTGAGAACTCAGCTTGTCAATTCATTTTATTCCCATATTTTATTTTTAGATTTTTTTATTCTGCCTTTATTGTTAGGTGTTTTTTTTTTACATAAACAACTCAAGGTGGGCAACATATCCAATACTCCTCCCTTCACTTATTTTCCCAACAACAACTCTGTGAAGTAGGTTTAGGTGAGATAGAATGAATGGCCCAAGGTCAAGCAGACTATTTTCATGCCTCAGGTGGGACTAGAACACAGTGTCCCTGTTTCTAGCCTGGTGTCTTAACCAGTAGATCCCTATAGCACATCATTTTTAAACAACGTTAGATTTCATCAAGATTAAACAGGTAGGGAAAGCATGACTTTTGGAACTCTTACCCACTCTTTAATAATAGGTTCCACTGAGTCATGTGACCAGCTGTTGGGGGATCTTAGTACTGAGCTGGCAACATTCCTGGAGCTGGGAAGGTCAACTGACAACACAAAGAGCGGTAACCATAAGATTTCACAATATATTTTGAGTTGGCATAATGATTTAGATAGCTTAAGTATGAAAAGAAAAAAGGTAGTGACTTGTTTAAGAAAAAAAAATCTTGCAATAAAACACATACTACAAAAAATGAGAAAGCTAAAAATAAACTCTGAGAACAAGCATGTTATGGGCTAAGTTGAGGAATACTGCAGTTCAAAAAAAAAAGGACTACCAAAATTGTGCTGTCAAAATCAGGACAACTACTTGATGGCAGCAAAAGGATATAGACAACTTGTTTCTGCCATATAGTGATCATTTGTGTAGTACATGTATGTTATTCTAGATGTGAAACAGTAAGATTTCTGTCAGTGGGACTGAGACATTAACATATTTTCTGATACCAAAAAGTTTTTTAATAATGGAAGAAATAACAATAAAATATTTCATTTTTATAAATCATTTGATTGAACATTTCAGAACCTTATTCAAATAAAAAATACTACTTTTATAAATGTACACTTACTGTAAGAATACTGTTATAATCGTCATGGTTCTGTCTACATTGTTGATAGATATATTCTACTCCTAGAAAAATGTCTCCCAAATTGTAGTCATCTTGAATACAGGGCTGGGGTAACTCTCCACCTTTCAGATTCTGTGATATCCCCAAAGAAAATTCAGTTACATACATGTTCTCAATTTGGTAAAACAAATGCCATGTAGAAAATGAAATAGGGATGTTAAGAACAGACCATACAATATTTCTAAACACTTTATGGTAATAAAAGACATGACTACTTGAATCAGGGAGATATTTATTTTTTTCTCCTTCTCCCATTCTAACTTTTACTTGGTTGCTTCTTCTTCAATAAGTATACTTATGCGTTATGATTTATAAGCTATGGCTTCCTTTTTGAAACAAATTTTCATATTGCACTAAGCCAAAGCAAACCTTATGACTTAGTATTAGGTATATATCAGGATTGCTTAGGAATAATAATATATGTAAGCTCAATGGTCTACTCTCTGAAGTTTTCAGTGGGATTTATTTCCATCTAAACTTGCTTAGGACAAGAATTCTCGGAGTCAATTGCAGAGAATATGAAGATCAGTTGTACTTCTATCCCCCTACAGTAACTTACAAATAAAACATTTATTCATTTATTAAATTTTTGCCTAGTGCTGACTCTAAACAGCTTAGAATAGGGGTCTTCAAACTTGACAGCTTTAAGACTTGTGGACTTCAACTCCCAGAGTTCCTCCTCCACTCATGTTAGCTCAGGAATTCTGGGAGTTGAAGTCCACAAGTCTTAAACTTGCCAAGACCCTTGGCTTAGAAGAACAGTAAAACAGTATAAAACATCAAAAAAGATAATACATATTATCATTAAAATTTACATTTACTTTCTTCTCACATGTATCAATTCCAATAGTTACAAAATAGAGCTTGAAAAACAAGTAATAATCTTTTAGGCATCCATTTATTCATACATTCTACAAAATCCACTAATGAATATTGATGCATTTTTTTTTTGTACCCTTACATAATGAGCCCTGATGCTTTTCAAGGCCTTCATTTTTGATGTGCCACAGTAATTGTCCTTTCCTTTATCATTAAGATTCCTGGGTAGGCCCTGAATCATTCCTAATTTATCTGACTTTTCTGTTGTTTCATATTATAAATAAACATGATACTGTTCTATGTATTAATGCCTGATTTCTGATAAAATTATTGCTAAGCTCTAAAGGAATAAATGAGCAAACACATACCTCATGAAAAGGAAAAGATAACACATCAGTAGGAATATTCTTCTTTCTGTAAGTTCTGTTAAGTTGCTGTATGTACATATTACTAACACAAATTACACCAAGGTCAAACTCTTGCACACCCAAAATAGAACGGAGTTGTTCTATGTTCTTGCGAAGTGGGACTCTCCTGATTGGAATAGCTCTTTGCAAATTACGTATGATCAAGCTCATCTCATAAAAATTGTGAAGAACTTTACACAGTCCTGCAAAGTAGACTATGATTAGACACCAATTACTAGCGGGTGGAACAACTTAAAATGACAAGTAATGCAATATTTTGGATAACAAAATAATTGTAGCATATTTATGTTATTTTGAATTGCTAGGTTTCCTAAGACAAAAAGGCACTCCCTAAAGAGTTTTTGCAAAGTAAGAGAGTGGAAACTGAAACCTGGGGGAAAAAATGGCCCAAATGACTCTAAGGTAAAGCCTGATATACTAACAGCAAAAGCACTCATCCAGCTAAACAATACAATTGTGAGGTTACTACTTTTTCACTAGAATTCAGTGCTCAGAGAGCCCTTTTCAGATCCATTTTCAATTGAAAATAGCATCTGAAATGACAGAATGTTAAGATCAAGAAATAAAAAAACTATTACAGTGCAGTGGTGATGCTTCAACTGCCCCAGCTTTTGTGAGTTTATAGGCAAGAAAAGAATGATTGCTGTGCCTGAGCCCTGCTCTCCCACCAAACAAGCAGAGATGAAAAACAACAACAGGAATTCCCAGCCACCCACCCTCTTTTGAAATGAATACTTAATCTTGAAAAACATTTCCCTCTACCAACTTCTACAAACACTGTAAGTTGTGAGGGGACGTTATAATTTAGAACAAGAGTCTTTCAAACTTGACAGCTTTAAGACTTGTGGACTTCAACTCCCAGAATTCCTGAGCTAACACGACTGGAGGAGGAATTCTGGGAGTTGAAGTCCACAAGTCTTAAAGCTGTCAAGTTTGAAGACCCGATTTAGAAAGTGGTTGTGAATACCCTAACCCAGGCTTTCTCAATCTTGGCAGCTTTAAGATAGGTGGTCGCAGTATGTGTGTGTGTATGAGGGGGGATTCTGGGTGCTGAGGTCCACCCATCCTAAAGTTGTCAAGGTCGTGAAACCCTGCTCTAATCCAGAGCAAAACATTCAAACTAGACAGAAGTGGGGCTTCCGTGAAATATACTTTTGTCGCAAACCTCGTCCGTGCTAATCTCTCCCTAATCACTCCGTATTAAAAGCTACCTTCCAGGCTTTTCCTCATGCACACATCTCTGCAAGTGGACGCAGTCGCTATTTCAAACACGCAGTCTTCTAACCACGATTTCTCGCTAATATTAATATATTTATAAATAAATACATATAAAAAAGGGGGACAAAGCTCCTTTAAAAGAAACCCTTAAATTTTAAATGTTCGTTTTCGGTGAGAGGCGGAAGACGTAGTCCTACGCTCTCGGCAGAAGCTCTCCAATTCTATTCTGGAGGGGAGGGGAGGGGAGGGGGGCTCCTCCTTGAAGAGTACGCGACGCTCTGTCCACTGCGTACGTCACTTCCGTTCTGCGCGGGAGACGCCGGGGTGCTGCGCCGGGGAGTCCCTTCTTCCGTGGGTGGAGTTAAACTCCTCCGCCTCTTCTGGGTCAATGGCGGTTTGTTTATGCGACGCAGTGAGGGAGTTCGGGACTCACGGCTTAGTTTTGTAGGAAAAGTGTCGTCGCTACATGTTCAGAGGTATCTTTTCTCTCTCTCTTTCTCTCTCTTTCTATCTGCGCTGCCCGGGCCCAACTAGGAGGAAAAAGGAGAGAAACTAGGAGGCCAAAATTAAATCTCAGGTCGGAGGTTTACGGGCTGATGAAGTAATTTCCCCCCACTTGCTTTGTACCCACGGTGGGTGTTGCTGAGGCGACAGAAGGCAGGCAGAAAGGTCAAGCGAGGGGATAGACAACAACTTGGGCTCACGTGTGTAGAAATTCTCTCTTCTAGTATTTATGAGTGCTCGCATCCAGGGTTATCCAGTGGAGCTGGCGGAAGATTCAGAACAGACTAAAAATAAAGTTCTGAACATAAACCAGAGGTCTTCAAACCTGGCAGCTTTAAGACTTATGGTCTTCAACTCCCAGAATTCCTCCTCCAGTCATGTTAGTTCAGGAATTCTGGGAGTTGAAGTCCACAAGTCTTAAATTTGCCAAGTTTGAAGACCCTTGACTTAAATGGACTCCGGAGGATGGTAGAGGACAGGAGGGCCTGGAGGAACGTTGTCCATGGGGTCACAATGGGTCGGACACGGCTTTGCAACTAACAACAAAAAGAAGAAGTTCAGCTTGATGCCGTATCAAGAGTTTTAACTGCAGAGTTTAAACTGCAGTTTCAGGTTTTGGGTTCTCCTCCATAAAACCCTACGTGGCTCAGGGCTGGAGGAGCAATGGGACCACCGTTCTCCTCTGCCCATCCTACAGTTCTGGCAGGTTGAGCAAGCTCTAGTTTCATCACTTTAGCCAGTGGCTCTCAAATTTGACTGGGCTGGGAGATTTGGGCACTTTTAAGTTGCCAAGGTGGTTGTATGTAAATGGTGTGTGAGAATGACCATGGGAGGTATGGAGAAGAGCCACAGCCAGGGGAATTGTTGGATATGAATATCCTTCTGGATGGGATTCTTGTCTGGACTACCTCACAAGACTGATAGCTGTGAAACATTGGCATAATCCGGAAGTCTCCAACCTTGGCAACTTTACGATTTGTGGACTTCAACTGCCAGAATTCCTCAGCCAGCTTTGATGGTGATCTATAAGTCAAATAAATACAGTACAATAAATTGCTTATTTTCCCCACAAGTGGTAACTATCTCTGAATTTGAATAGTTTTTAAACTCCATTGAAAATTAGTTAATAGTGGTTATAATCACCAGTATCACAGGCAACTTGTCTCTCAATGTCAGACAATGGAAAACACAAAAAGGAGGGTACTTCCGCCCTTGTGATCTGCTTGTTGGCTTGCCATAGACATATGACTAGTTATTGTGGAAACAGTACTGGAACAGATAGTTATTCCATCAATTCCAACACTATTCTTCTACCATGCTTCTATTCTTTACCTATTTTTTTAATCCTAGCTATTTCCTAAAAAATATGGTGTTAGCTTTTATAGGAGAGAGGGGTTAATTTAAGGAGATGTTATAGAAAAGTTACATTTATCTGAGCTGTATCATTCAAGATGGCAGTATAATTAATCAGATGTTACCATAATTGTATGTTCTGCAATTAAATAATTTATCATAAATTTTGACTTAATGCGCCATGTTTTAACAATAGACAAAATATGTCTATATGCTATATGCTTCTGAGCATGTATAAAATCCCATTCTCATGTGTTTGTAAAATGCATAAAGGGATGCATAAGGGAATAAGGGGATGCAGTGGCTCAGTGGCTAAGATGCTGAACTTGTTGATCAGAAAGTTCGGCAGTTTGAATCCCTAGCATGGCGTAATGAGTGAGCTCCAGGAGTTGCTTTGGATTGCAGCAGGATAAAAATGGAATAAATAAAAAAATACAGTGCAGTATTTTTTTTTCCAAAAAAAATCAGCTTAAAAGGATTGTTTTTGTTTATTAATTTTATGACTTAAATTGTATATTCCAGGACTGAAAGATGAAAGTCAAAGGAAGCTAGACAAAAGCTAGTTTATATATTAACAACACCAAAAATGAATCCAAGTACTCCTTTCAGTGGACAGCCATCAGGAGTTTTTCAACCATCACCTGGTGCGTCAGCTGGAATGTTTTCAAGTCAGCCACCATTCCAGTTCAATCAGCTCTCTGTCTTTGGATTGAACAGTGGAGGAGTAAAGAATCCAGGATTTACTCACTTGTCTGACTTTACTACAGGACTGCATAATTCTTCAGGGCAAGGCTTGGGATTTGGGCAACTTCCAGGCTTTACGCAATCTTATTCTCTTGGAGAAACAACATTTGTAACTACTGCACCAATGACTGCTTCTGTGACCAGCAAATCTGGATTTAGTTTCAGACCACCCACAAATCTTGGCAGTTCTCAGAGTACTTCTGCTTTTGGAACTGTGCCTGGAGAAACTTCAGGTGGTGGTTTTGTGAGATCAGATTTCAGTTTCAAAAGTTCTGAAAATACAATGTTCAAACCTATCTTTGGGACTAATTCAGAACAAGAGAAAATACCAACTTCCGCTGCTTCTTCTTTTACATTTTCTTCTCCAAGTGGTGCAGGACTTGGAAAATTATCCCCTTTTGTCATATCTCAAGAAAGCAGCAATTCAAGTAATACTGGTTTCAGTTTTTCCAAACCAGTCAATAGTAGCAGTACTTCAGCAGTTTCTTTCAGTACTTCTTTACCAAGTAAGACTCTAGCAGATGATAAAAAGAGACCTATGGCTCTCTTTACAAGTCCTGATAGTAGTTTTTCTTCTTTTTCAAACCCATCTTTGCCTTTGAGAGATACTTTCCAAGTTAACAAAACTAACAAGATGGAACATGAAGATTTTTTCATCCCAAGTGAGCCACTTCCCACTCTTGGGAAGGGAATGAAAAGGAAAGAAGAACAAGCACATTCCCCAAGGCATCATGATTATGACACTGATGAACTAGAACCTCCATCGAGGAATGATCATGCTTCTAATAAGCGTCCTGTTAGATTGAATCGTCCACCTACACAAGGTCTATTTGGAAGAGTATTACAAGATGTTTTGAAAAGCAACAAAAAGGAATCCAAAATTGAGCGCGTTCCTATTGAATCTGGAGAAATAGTAGCAACAAGTGTGGCAGGGGGAAGTCAGTCTGGTTTCACATTGCCTAAATCTATATCACCACTAAGAAAAGAAGAAAAGGGAAAATTGAAACATGGTAAGAGCTAAACGAGAATTTATCAAATAAAACTGAAAATGGTTACAATTAACTACATTGTAACCAGCAGTATGCTTATAAGTAAGAGCATTTTGTATTTTATTTGATAGATAAATGTGACTTTGAAATATATGTGCTTATTTTTAATCACTATTTGATTACTTGCAGATTCTGCTGCCTCAAACCCTTTACGTCGAAATCGGAGCACTGGGAGCATAGAAAGCCTCGGATGCTCACCAAGTGAATTGACAGCCATCCAGTGTAAAAATATTCCTGATCATCTAAATGACAGAAATGTTCTTCACAAACATTTTGAGAAGTTTATTAAAATCCAACAAATCCGTACCAACCGGAACAAAAAGTTAGCCATTGTACGCTGTTTTGACCATGTGAGTTTTAAAATATCAAGATTAATAGCTATAGAGGGTATACTACTGGGAAATTTACTCCATATGCTTCTAAAGTTGGTTGGCTACTATGATATTTTGCAATTTAAGGTTGGCTACATTATTTAAGTTACAATTAATTTCATTAAAATTATATCTGCCCATCTGTCCCATATTAAGTATATGAATGTCTGGAGTACAATGAAAAAAGTTGTATCTGTAGTAAGATATTATTGGGATATCAGTGGCCATTCTGAGTTGCAGTTTATAATACATGTATTATGGAAATGGTGACAATAAAATAATTTTACTTAGCCTTCTAAACACATTTTTTTCAAATAACTGTGACATAAAACTTTCTAATCGATGATACCAAGTCTGCATGTTGACATTTTCTTAATAGTAGAGATTGCATCCTTTTAATTGGAAAATTCCTAGAAAAAGTAAATTGTTGTAGAAAATTGAGACAGAAAAATCATTGGCATTGCCCTCTTTGAATGAGAGAGAGATGGATTTGATACAAGATTTAGGCTGCACATGTGCTAATTTGATGCTTAGATTAATAATTGTTAATACAGATACAACTTTTTCATTGTACTCCAGACATTCATATACTTAATAAATATGGGACAGATAGGCAGATATAATTTTCAACACTATGAGAATTGTGGGGGGAAATGATGAAAAATCTCTAAAGAAGATGAATTTTCCCAATGACTTCTGATGGCAGAAGATACATGAAATCTTCTAGTAAAGGGTATCCCCTCTTAGTTCTTACACTTTGGCAAACAAATCTCAGTGGATCTTTTCTAAAGTATTTTAATTATTTGCCATTATTATACTTGTTTGTGTCTAGTGTGTGGTTTGTGTGTGTAGGGGGTGGGGGGCAGAGCGCAAGAGC